CTAAGTATTCATTAAGAGCAGGCAAAAGACTCCAGTATCTGAATTACATTTTTTTTCTATTGATGAAAAGCACTCTGTTAGTGATACAATCTATATATGTAACTGAAGAAGCTGATGGCTTGTTCTACTTGATCTAAGCATTAAAGCACACAAAAGCTTGGATGTATAGCTACAAAAAGCAGCTTTCACCTCAATTTGTTGGGGATTTTAGGTCACTAATGCCTTATTTACATATCTTGGACAGCAGAGACTGTAGTAGGAAGTAGGAAGACTTTGAAAAGACAAGGAAGAACAACAACTTCTATATTTACTTTCACTTTTAAGTTGCATTTAACTATGTTTTATCCTTATTCTCACACAGTGTCATTTACAACGGTATTAAAACACCAAAATGACAACTTTTATTTTGGTTGTTTTGGCAAAAGTCCTGTAAATGTGAATGAATACTAAGTGCCAATACTATCCATGCACAGAAATTCAGCTACAGCCAGGGCATGCTGCTTTAGAAGCTCCATCAAGATGCTCAAAACTTAAATATTACCCCGGGAATTGCTAAAACCTGGCCCTAGAAACAAATTATTGCCATGTCTCTTGCTATTGACTTATTTCTGCATTGCCTTTCCAGTTCCAAACTGTAAAAGTGAGAGTGTCAGTTGGTATGAAAAGGAACTTTTGCTTCTGAAGAGGTTGCTCTTACTCCTTATTATTCATGTAAAGCCATAATCCTGTATTTATGACATCAAAACTTATTCCTGGGAAACTGATGCATTTGAAAACAGAAGACAAATGCAGTCAGGAAAGAAGGAGCAAGAAAGCTCACTTCTGTTCAAGCATCCCACTAAAAAATATAATAAAAAAACAACATTTCCCCCACAAAAAAAAAACCAACTTGTCCCAAACCAAACAACAAAATATGAAAAAAAATAAATTTAAGTGTTGCTTAAAATTCATACAGTGAAGTGATGAAGGTTTTCTAATCTTCAGGAGTAGGATGTCCTGTGACAGCCCTTTCAGCACAATGCTTTATCAAAATCAGCAGCAGCCTCAGCACACTTACCTTGACTTTCACAAGCCTTTTCACCGTCTTAATCTTGGCCTCGCAGAAGGCACCACGGTACTTGGCACTGACATCAGTCCCCACTGTCAGGTAGGCAGGCTCATCTGCTGCCTGGAGGGAAACAAAAACACAAAACCAAACTTTACCTCTTATTTATAGTCACAGCTGCATCACTATGTATTTCGTTTTACACCTGGGCTTTTGAACCTGTTGACTTTTAATTCATAAACAGTGCCTGTCCTTGAGATTGCCATCACAGAGTTCTTCAAAAGGGAAAAAGAAAACTCAACAAACAAGTTCCAGGAAGTTTTGGTTTGTCACTGATGTTGACACACGCCTCCTGTCAATTCATTGCAGCCTCTCCCAGAAATGTTTTTGAGGGCATTCATTGATACCTGGAACATCTGCTTATAAAAATGGCAGCAAAGTTAAGGGGGAACTATTCATTCAAGTAGTTTCTATACAAAGGGAAAACATTTCAACTGCAAAAAGGCAATATAACAGACAGCTGTATTTTTTCAGCTATAAGCAATCCAATGGCACAGATTATTCAAAATGTTTGAGATTGGTGTCATCCCAACACTTACAATTAAGTCTATAACATTCTATATATAGGATTTTTTTCCTGGTGACTAAAAGGAGACCTCTAGAGAAATCTGTTGCAATCTTTCTAACAGCTATTAACAAGTATTTTTCTTTCCTGGAATGCCTTATCAAAACTTAATTGCCTGTGCATTTTTCAAGAGAAACATTCATCACGTTTTCCTCAACCTGGACTTTAATACTCAACATTTCACTTTACTGTCCTTACTGCAACTGATAAACAAGGATAAAATTACCACATTGAAAAGACAGGAAATGGGTGCAGAATCTAAAATAAAATGGGATGCGTATGGGTTATTTTTTTTTAAACTCGGTATTTCATTCAACTCTGAAGGGAAAAGGAAAAGTTTCCTAAATTATACTGCAATTGTTGAGCCTTTGTACTGAGCAAACCGGCAAGAGCAAAGGCGGGACAAAAGCTGTGGTTTTGCAAACTTGCCATAGCAGCTGCTGATACAGGAAGCGTTTAAAGACGGGAGCCCGAAGGACAACAACAACAACTCCGAGGCGATGAGGATGTTCCGAGCGCTCCTGCACGGCGGTGAGAGCTTTAAATCACCTGCACCTTGCCGGGGAGCAGGAGCAGCACTCAGAGCACGCACCGAGCCCCGCGTTCTCCCACCGCTGCCGTGCCCAGACGGAGAGCGATTAAAAATGAAATCTCCAGAGCGGCGGGCGAACAGGGCGGCGATCCCCGCTCCCGCCGGAGCCGCCTACCTTCATCTTTAAGGGTTATGTGAGCGATTCCAGCTCCAGGACTTCTCCTTGCACGGGAAACACTGCAAAACAAGAGCGGGGGAGGCTGAGGGCTGAGCGCGGGGCTCCCCGCGAGGGGCGGCGGGGGGAGCCCGGGGAAGGCGGAGGGAGGGACGGAGGGAAGGAGCCGCCGCCCGTCCCGGCCGCGCCGAGGGAGCGCGGCCGCCGCTTCCCGCCGGGCGGCCCCGCGCTCGGTGTGTGTCACGTCGCCATTTGCTCCGCGGGGCTCAGGGGCCGCCGCCCCCCACCCGCCCCGGCCCCCTCTCAACTTTCCGCGGCCCCGCCGGGCCCCCCTCCTCCTGTCGGACTTGTGCCTCCCGCGCCCCGGGGCAGCGCCGCAGCCCCCCGGCCCAGGGAGCGCGGGGGCCGATCCCGGGGATACCGGGACAGAGTTCGGGGGTCCCGGTCCCGGGGGTCCCGGTCCGCGAGGGGGGCGGAGCGCGCGCCCGTACGCTCCCCCAGGGCGGGGGAGGGGAGGCGGGGGGGGTTTAAAGCGCAGCTCCCGGAGCCGCTTCGCGTCCCCTCCCCCGGGACGGCGGCGCGGCAGCCGCAACTCCGCCACCGCCACCACCGCTACCACCACCGCCGCCTCCTCTTCTTCCTTCTCGCGCGTCTCTTCCTACCTGCGAACTCCTCGTTCCGCAGCCCCCGCGCCGCCCGGGCCCCTCCGCAGACGGCGGCGGCCCCGGCTGAGCGCGGCCCCCGCTCCGCCCCCCCCTCTCTCCCGCCCCCCCCCCCCCCCGCGCGAGCGGACCCGCCCCGCGCCGCAGCGCGAGCCCCAATAAACAAGCGGCGGGAGCGGGGCCGCTCCCATTGGCCGCCGCCCCGACGCCCCGCGCGCATTGGGCCGCCGCGGACAGCACCCCCATTGGGCCGCGGCTCGGCCCCGGGAGCACGGGATTGGCGGGTGGCGCGGACCGGAAGGGTAACGGCGCGATGTGATTGGCTCGGGGCGGGACGGGCGGGAGGGAGGGGGAAGGACGGGGCGGGGGCGGGACGGTGGTGGTGGGGGCGGAGCCGGCGCGCGCGACGCGCAGGCGCGGCGGCCGCGGCGTCGCAGGCGCCATTTTGTGCGCGGCTCTTTCCCATTTTAGGCCGCGGAAAGAGGGAGGAGCGGGAGTGTCCGTGAGCTCGGCGGAGGGAGCGGCCGAGAGGCTCATCCTGAGGTCCGCTGAGGCGGCGCCGCGTCTCTTCCCAGCGGTATGACCTCGTCGCTGGATGTTGGCGGCGGCTCCGCTTGCGGCGGCGATGGCGCAGGAGCGGGCCCGGCCGGAGCCGGAAGTGGAGCGGCCGCCATGGAGGCGCCAGGACCGCCCGCCGTGAGGGCGCGGAGCCGCCGGGGCGGCCCGAGCGCCCCACAGAGACACACCCGGGGTGCAGGTAGGGGCTGCCGGCCCGCGCCGCCTTCCCGCGGGGGAGGGCGCAGCTCCGCCGCCCTTCATCATCCCCGTGACGCGTGCGGGGAGGGAACGCGACCGGCTCTTGCTGCTCGGGCGCTTCCCCACGGTTCCCTCTGCAGGAAGACGCGGCAAGGACAGGGATGGCCGCTATGGAGGAGGCTGAGGGCTTCTTCTGGGCAGTGTGTGAGGGTGTTGTAGAGTGTGGTCCTGGAGGTGCGGCCTTACGAAGCGAAGGGATACCTGCACCCGTCAGAGTCCTTTGAGAGAGTTTGGTCTTAGAGACGAGCTTTAATCTGAATAAGCAGGAGTTACAGGCTGAAGCCTATGATAAAACCATATGCTTTAAGGTTAGTTTCACATTTTGACATATTTTACGGAATTTCTATTGTGGCTTATGTTAATACAGATGCATAATTTTTATTCTGAAGTAACGGATCCATAATTTCTATTCCAAAGTGATGAGCATTTGTTTGAGAGTGCTCATTGTGAGCTAGAAGGCATCTCTCAGGGTTACCTAAAGTAACAGTGGAGGGACCATTGTGTTAATTTGACAGAAATATATAGTTAATTTAGGTGTGGTTCCCATATAAGTTATGCTTTGTAGGTGGCTTTTGGGGATTTTTTTTAGTTGTTTTTTTGTTTTATTTTGTGTTGGTTTTGTTTTGGGGTTTTTTTGTTGGTTTTTTTTTTTTTTTTTGAAAGCTCTTTAGGTAGTTCAGTGAGCAGAGGTGTGTGGTACAGGTAAGCTCTGAAGGTTTAATAATACACCAAGTACAAAAGACTTGTTTGGAATTGACTGCAGGCAAGGCCTGACATAGAGGAAAGGTCTGGAATTCTGATGTTTGGATCTGGGTTGTAAGTGTAAAGATGGCTCAGGGCCTCTACAAAATGTTTAAAGGTTAAGGCATTTAGTGTTGAGGGAGGTTTGATTCTGTGCCGTAGTTCTGTTTTATGTAGTGGATAAACTAGAGAGTATCTATGGGGAACCTACCAAGAGACCTGGAGAGGGACTTTGGACAAGGGCATGGAGTGACAGGACAAGGGGGAATGGCTTTGCACTGACTGAGAGCAGGTTGAGCTTCCATATGAGGAAGAAATTCCTGCCTGTGAGGGTGGGGAGGCCCTGGCACAGGGTGCCCACAGAAGCTGTGGCTGCTCCTGGATCCCTGGAAGTGTCCAAGGCCAGGTTGGAGCACCCTGGGAACAGTGGAAGGTGTCCCTGCCTAAGGCAGGGGAGTTGAAATTGGATGATGTTTTTAAGGTTCTTTGCAACCTAAACCATTCTCTGGTTCTATAACTTAGACTACATTATGTCTAATCTAAATGTTAACAAATTTCCAAAATTCCGTTTTAATGTGAACTTCTGATTTCTCTGTGGAATGTGTTGGGCAAATCCTGCCTTGGATTGTGAGCTTTCCTGAGGCATGGTTTGTATCTCTGTACTGAGTGTAGAACCATTCAATAAATACCAGTTTGTGATTAAACTAATCAGTCTTGTTTCTGATTTCTAGCATAAAAATCCTGCCCCCGTGGATGTAGCTGTTACAGCCAGCACAATTAGGAGGCTCATGGCACATCACCCACCGAGCTGCTGTGAGCAGAAGGACTTTATTTCCGTATAGCCAGTGAACAGGAGAGGTGACTTGTTCTTTTATGGTATTTTAAGCACCTAAGAATGCCCAGTGGGCAGCTCAGCACAGCACAAATGGTCTCACACAGCTTAGGGATGATGTCTGGTGTCATGGAATGAGAACACTGTGCTTTTGGCAAGGCAGGAAAAAAAGTCTAATTTCGGTTTAAATATCTTTTCATTGGAATAGGAACTTCAGGACTCAAGAGTTGCTCCAGGATAGTGAAATTCTGTGTTCTAAATGTCATTGTTAAGCAGCCCTGAAACTTGAAGCTGTCCTGGCTGTGCTGGATCTTTGCTCTGTGCCCCATCCCCCTGTGCACACCCTTACAGGGCAACTGGAAATGAGTGGAAGAAATGAGCAGTGGAGGTCACTTTGGTGAGCCTTTTTATCATGGCCTGTTGTGTTAACTGCACCAAGCTAACAGCTGAGAAGCTCTAGAGTGGGATAATCACAGTAAGTCACTTTAGTATCTAATCTCTTTGTAAACCGACACGCTGTGAGGGAGAAACTTTTCATTTTTTAGATCACTGTTCAAAGCAGCAGTTCTTGTGCTATCTGTACTTTGTTAGTACCAAAGGTCTTGTAGATGCAGCACGGGAGATTTGCCTGGGGAAATGCATTTGAGGCTTAGCTTGAGCAAATTAAAGGCTTCTTAATTTAAAAACAATTAAAAGCATTAAGGCACTCTAAGCATGACACTGGTCATTGGTCACATGGAGTTCTAAGTGATGGCTGTAAGTAAATTAGTTAAAATAATACCCTTAAACACTTGAAAATGTATTGGTGTATTAGTTGCAGAATATACAGAAGTCTTGCCCAAAGTCTTCCATACATGTGGCACTTGATAAGAAAAAGCAAATTTAGGAATGTCTGCATCTTACAGGTCTCTTTATAAGAACAGCAGAATAAGTAACTATTGAATGTATCACGTGGCTTCCTTCAGATCCCAGATAAAGTAAAAAGATTTCTGTGACAAGTAAGATGGTTTTATTCTGTTCAGTAATCACATACTGCTCTTGGCATACTGGATTTTTTGTAGATAAAAACTCAGAATGCATGTACGATTGCAGCCAAAATACTGTAGAAATATTAAAAATATTGGATCTTACTTTAACACTGGGCTTCTTTCTATTTAGTGACGGACAGTGCTACTCTGTCAGACTTTGCAGTTGTTCAGGAGACTTGTAGCTTTTCTTTCTGTTTCCATTGTTCTTTTTTTAAAAGCTTTTTTTAAACATTTCTATTCTGTAGTTAAATAAGCAATGCTTTTGCAGATCCTCTATGTGGAACTGCAGTATTTCTGTACAAATTAAAGTTGCATGCTTCCCACAAAGCTTTATTATCTAAATGATTGCAAACTGCTCAGAGGAGCATGGTAAGAAGTTGTGAAGTGCAGGTATAAAGAGAAAATGCCAGTTAACGTGAAGCTGACAGCAAAAGCTTCAACCAGTAATAGCTGGATTATAAAAATGGAAGATCAAACATTTCCTGGTCATGGAGAAAATTGTGCTGCACTGTTAAACTATCAGCATTAAGTTCCTTCATTTTTATAATCGTGTGTTAGAGAGGGCAAAAAACCAAACCAACTTAAATGAAACCTGTTAATGTTGAATGCTTGCTTACGTTTTCCCCAGCTCTGGGACGTTCCTGTCCTCAGCTTCAAAAAATGGACATTGAATTATTCAAACATAACTTCATGCTGATTTTAATCATTGCCTTGGGAGGGATCCTACTGGAGAAGGCACAAAGCCTGGCAACCCTCAGGAAGCCTGAACTGATGCATTCTCTCCACTGAAGTTCAGTGCTGATTTCTTAGATCTGCTCCGGAGATGTTTTGCAGCAGTGCAGTATCTTCTGGACATGAGTAATGATGAAAATATTTATGATGTAGAGCACTGTCAAATACTTGTGTGAGAAAAATCTCAGAATTGGGATTTCTATCAGCACTGCACAAATAATACTCACTTTGTCATTGCTTTTCCCAGTAACACCAGTAAAGTGATCCATGCTCATCTGGCCAAGCTCTTGGCAGCAGCCTCAGTGATCTCCAGGGAGGAGCAGCCCCATTTTTCCTGAATAAACCATGTCCAGACTTGGCTGTGCTTTGTGGTGCAGATCTGAGCTGCAGTCCCACGTGTTGCAGTGAGTGCAGGAAGCAGTGATGCATTCACGGAGGGTGCTGTTGGCAGCCCAGCACCACCAGAGCAGTTCCAGCTCTCAGCTGAGGGAGCTGCTGCTTCCCCCCAGCCTGTGAGCTGTGGCATCTATCAGGCAATCTTTTAATGCCAGACAGAAAATGTTCCTTGTTTTCAGACTGATTTGGTAATCTTATGTTTGGACAGAAAAAGAGTTTGTGTTGTAAGAGGTTATTTTTATTCTTTCTGGTATGTAATTCTATGATAGCTGACATATTTGTATCAAATGCTAATGTTGGCTAATTTAGGAGCTACATGCTTCTTGTCAGGGTTTACTTAAGCATGGATTCTAAAGCCAGTTTCTGCATGTTTTGGCACATGGTGTTATCTGAATATAGATGTTTAATTTCTATTTGATGTCTAATAAAGGGATGCAGGATATGGAATTTGATTACAAATACACTGAATTTCTTGTATTATTTCTCAGGACTGCAAGTTCACATTGGTGATGATAGTTACAGCTATCCTGGGGAAGTCATGCAGTGTTGCAAAACAACTACACAGCTCTGCAGGGAAGCTGAAGATTTGTGCAGCAGCTTTAAATTAGATGTGGCAAAGGATTCTGTCATCACCTGCAATCAAGTGATCAGCCTGTCTTTCAAAACTTGAAGTAGGTGCTTGAGGTCTAATGAGAATTTAGTTACTGCTCTGGGTAGCACTTCTCACAGGGCTGCTGAAGGAGAGTGTTCTTACATATTTTTCAGAACAACACTTTGGATGCCAGCAGTAAAGGTGAAGGATCAGATCTTTACATTTGCCTGTCATTAATTCTCTTTCAGGCTTTCTGAATAGCATTTTTCATGGCAGACACAAGACAGTGCTTAGTACCGGAAGTGTATCCTGTGCACGTGTATGATGCAGGATCAGTGCATCGACTGTTCCAGTGTTGTAAACTTAAATTTTTTAAATCACTATGCTTTTTAACTGGCTTCCAAATTATCTCTGCAGCATGCAGCTTGTTTTATTGGCTACTGAGGTGTCAACTTTATTCTTGATTTAAATTCTTTATCTGTGAGAGTTTTGATCTTTCAAGGAGAGAAAAAAATTTTTACAGGATTGAAGGAGTGGTTTTGTCAGTAAATACAGTCAGTTACCCATCTACAGATTGAATACATTTTATGTTCTTGAAATAAACTGAAATGGAAAATACTTAAACTTATACCTGAATCTCTAAATAGTCTGTATTCTTCCTTACAAAGTCAAATATCTAGTTCATAATTACTGCTGCTTTAGTAAACTCCCATCTAAATCAAATGTGCAGGCTAAACTTGAAAGCAAAACCCATGTGGGTTTGGGAGTGGCAATTACCGATTTCATTGCTATGAAAACCAAAAGGAGAAAAAAGTCTTTGAAGTTCTACATGTTGTATTTGAAGAACCTTACTGCAGTCTTCTGAGTAAATTAAGAAGCTGAAATAGAAGATACTCCTCTGTAAATATTTAACTTCTAAGATCTACTTTGTAGCAACAGTGTGGTCACTTTTTCAGCCGTTTGTGATACCACTCGCAGTAAATGTTTACTGAAGAGGTGTCTGATGCTGCCCATGGCTAAGATGTGAGTTGCTGCTGCCACTGGAGTGCTGAAAAGGGTGTTTCACTTTGGTATAGAGAGCTACTCTGGCTGGATTCATTTCTCTAGCTTAGATTCAGGGTCTTCTTTTATCCTACCTGTTGCTCATTTATATCTTAGACTGATTTTTTTTTTTTTTTTCCCCACTGCTTCCTGGTAAGATTTTTTGCTGCAGTAGTAGCCAGGTAAAAAAGTACAAGAAGGAAATAAGGCTCTTATGAGCCGGGTTCTCATATACCAGTGTCTGAAAAAGCTTGTGCAAGTGGCTTGCAGAGTTCAGATTTTTACTAAAATGCATCTTTCCATACTTGTAGAGATAAAGAACAGGGTTCTAACACTGATGCTGAGTCCTTGGACATGGCCCACCTGCCAGAATAAGGGTGTCTCAGGCTTGCCAGCACTGATAAGCTGGTGATTAAAACACTTTATTGTTACAGATGCAGAGTGTAGAGCAACATGATTCAGCAGGGTCAGGACTATGGAGTCACAGTCCTTCCTTGTAACCCTCCAGAAGCACTGTGTGTGTGACACTGCAGTCTGTGTGTCACTACCAGCCTGCAGCCTGGCACAAAGTGGGAAGTAGCAGCTCTGCTGTTCAGCAAAAGAAAGCTGGTGAGGACAGTGGTTACGTAGCCTTTCTTCCAGGGCTTTTGCTTGTCCAAATTATTTAATCACTGCAGGTGAATTTACTTTTCAGCCTCAGCTAACAAGACTGCAGTTGGTCAGTATTGATTCTTACTTGAAAGTATTAATGCCCTCAGTCTTTTGAATTAAATATTTTGAGCTGTAAGTAGCTGCTGGTGATGGGAATCTACAGTTCAGCTAGTGATTAAATTCTGCTCAGCCATCTTTTTTCCAAAGCTATTTTTCATTAGTCTGTGTCTTTTGGAGGTTATTATTCCAGGTAGCTCATTTCCAGGTGGCCAGGGAGTTGGCTGCCCCATCAACACTTAACCTGTGAATTAATTGCCAGACTGTGCTGTTTGCAGGACTTTGTACCTTCAGGGATGTGCTTTCCCCTGCAGTGCTCCCGTGTAGTGTCACCTCATTAGCTACAGCTATAAACAGAGCTGTGCTGTGTGACATTCAGAACTCTGACAGAGCAAAATACATGGCTTTTTAGAGGGTTTTTTTATTCTGGATCAATGGAAGATGTATTTGTGGGAATGACCTGTCATCTCCTTGCAAGCAGCACAACAGGATACACTGGTGTGAGGGCAGACATAAGCACTTGGCTGAGGAAAGCAGCTCTTGTTAAACCAGCTGATGGAAAACACATTTAGCTACATTTTAGTTCTGCCCAAAGAGCATTTCTATTCCTGGTGTACATAGGAAAGTGGGGGAAATAGGCTCTCACTTGGTTGGCTTTGTTGACTGTGGAAACACCTGGGGTTAGAATTGAAACTGCACTTTGAGCATTCTGCTAAAGTAGCTGGTGCTTCCTGTGCTGCTCTTGTCACCTGTTAATGCAGTCTCATGTGATAGGTCTCTGTTCTTTCTGAATGTAATGAAAGGAGCAGATTTCCTGCTTTTCTAAAATCCTAACGAGATAAAATTTTATTTACAAAAATGTATGCATCACGTGGGTGGGTTTTAAGGAGGTGTGTGTTTGGAATGCATCAGTTTTTGGGTGAATTTACTATAATTGAACCTACTCTTAATCTGATGAAATTAGAATCCTAATGCCTGATTTTGGATATGCAGACAATACGTGTACCAAATTCTATCTGATTTTATGCAGCAATAAAGCACACTCTGTTCTTTCTAAACCTTTGATTGGCTTGTTTTATCACGTTGCCTAAAATGGTATTTTCAGTGGGCAGTTCCTACACTGTTTTTTGGGGACACTTCAGAGGATTTCAGTTTTTTCCTGTATCTGAAGATATGCTTGTGTTTGGAGTACAAACTGTGTGATGCTGCTGCCTGCTTCATTCTAGTTGTCCATTTTTGGTTGGCACAGCAACTCGTAAGACCCATTTTTAAACAACTGTTTCAGAGTCCTTTAATAGCAATGTACTGAAGATGAAAGCACTGTGTGGGGGTGGCTGCATCCATCTGGAAATAGGAGGCTTGGTTTGAGCTTGGTTGTAGATCCTGTGTTCTAAAATACTAGAATGTATTTACAGTAAGGCAAGGCTTAACTCTGCTACCACTTGTTTTCTGCAACTCTGGCTAATTGGACATAATAAGCAGCAAGATGCTCTATAAAGGAAAGTTACAAGCAGTTGGTATCTCAGAATAGCTCTCAGTTCTTAAGCAGAAGTAAGTTCCTTGCTGCATGCAACTTGAAAAACTGGTGGGCAGAGGAAAAGCTGGTCCTTGTCTTACAGACATGCAACTGAAAGAAAAAAAATGAGGGGGAGAGAACAGACTGTGTGCTGTATTTTTGGTGCAGTTACACATCAGAATTGTCATGACAATCAAAACTGTTTGTCTCTTAGTAATCTTTAAACTCTGTACTTCACTTTAAGGTCACGCTAAGATGCATTTTGAATTCACTGTTTTGCATTCCCTTCTATGGCTGTGGTTTTATCTTCAGGAAGAGACTTGCAAAAGAGTCCTGGAGTTATTCCAGATCTCCTTCCTTAAGGGTGCCTGGGACTGCACAGGCAGAGAGCATCCCAAGCAGTGCAGCATCCACATGGACAGTCACGCTCTCAGAATGCGGGGCTTTAACCTCAGGCCATCGAGCTATTTTTGGTGATGAGAAGTTACAAATGAATGACCCAATGCTTGGCATACTTCAGATCTGCATGAGACACATTCTGCTTGGAATGTTTCCTTTCTCAGAGTCAGCACCAAATACAGATGAGTAGCATTTCTTTTGGAGATGGCCTCATGGATGTCTGCCACACAGGAAATTTCACATTTGGGTTACTTCTAATAATCTTGCCGTCATTTCATCAGCAGTACTAGCAGTTGTAAAGAGGATATTATCCAAGCCAGTAACTTTTATGGCCATATTAAAGTAGCATAAAATTAATGATCTTGATGCGATAGGCTAAACTTGCTTTTTGAACTCTGCAAGTGCACTTTCATATGCTAAAATGGGCCCTGGTGTAGTCATGGAAATGGATGTAAGTAAATCAAGATACTGGAGCCTGTTGTTTTGTAATTTGTCACCTGCAGTTCGCCTAGTCCCCTTCTTAATTCTCTTGAGCAAAGCTGCTGTATGTGGACTTGCTGACTAAATAATTGTAACGAGGAATGTGACATATCCAGCCTTAATAAACAGCAGAGTAGTGATTCATCAGGTGCTGAGTAACAGCCAGTGGATGTGTGAGACTTAAGGAGGAAGCATCTTACTGAACAGGCTGCTCTTGAGTCATTGTTGGATCTGTACTTCTAAAACACTCCTTGGGTGGAGGGATGACTTGGGCTTTACATTCTTCCTTCCTGCTCTGCTGTTCAGGCCCTGTGCTTTGGGTCTTAAGCAAGACTAAACCATTGAAAGCCTAAGCATGAAGTGTTTCAGCATGGCAAGAACTGGAGTTATGCATTCCAAGTGGGTATTTAACTTTCTGCTGTATTATGTGTTGCCATAAATGGCCAGAGTAGGACAAAGTAGGTTAGTTGTGGAGTCTGGAGCAAGCAGTGCTGCTTTTCTGCTATCTTTAGATCTGAAACTTCTCAGTGCTTTGGGCAGAAATAACCCAAGTGAGACTCTTTAGAATCACCTCTTGCTCAAATCTCTAATTCAGAAGGTTTCACCCTGCCATTTGTTTGTCTTGCAAAGCATTTCCACATTTGAGTTACATTGAAGTTATAATTGACCATTTTCAAGCCAGCTAGAAAAGCTAATTTTAATCTTAGGGAAGGGGATCCAAGCCTTA